ATTTTGAGGAGGATTATTTGAATATTCTTTGAGATGGTAGCGAACTCCTCTATAAGGAGTTATAAGGCCACTTTTTAGCATAAACCCAGCATCAACAAGGTAAAATTTTCCCTCTGGAATGATAAGCTTATCTTCTCTTTTTAATGCATCCTTAATAATTCTAGAATCTGAGGCAGTCCCTTCCCATCCTGTTAACACATAGGTGAACTTTAAATCAAATGTACAGGCAGCTAAGACATTTTGGGTTGGATACTCTTTTCTACCACGATATTTAGGGGCATCTAAGGGTGAGACTTTTACACGAATATGTGTTCCATCAATTGCACCTACACAATCCTTAAAGTATGGGTAGAATCTACTACTTGACATTATCTCTATAGGGATTTGTGAACCATCTGGTTGTTTAATAAATTTTTCTTCAACTGCTATTATAGCTCTCAACACACTATGAAAATGTCGACTAGTAGTTTCTCCAGAACGTCGAAACCAAAATTGGATTGAACGGTTTTTGGCATTTTTAGCTAGAATATAAAGAGTTTTAGCTACTTGTTCCTCAATAGTTGCTCTCCTAGTGGGTTGGAGACCTCCCTCCCTTTCAAGTATATCACAGAATTGTAAAAAAGCTCTAGGACCCATCCCTATGATATAACGGCTTCTATCACTCCCCACAATTTTGTTCATTATTTCATCTCGAACTCGTTCTCTCTCATTAATTATATTATCATCAAGAAGCTTCTTTTTTGGTCGACTTCGAAGAAACCACCAATAAACAACTAAGCATATTACATGAGCAATGGCCTTCCTACGCATGTCTCTCATAGCATCCATCTATATTTATAAAATACAAATTAAAATTCTATGTCATGATATATTTTAAATTCAATTGGGATAACTAAAAAGTGAAAGAATAATCAAAGTCTCAATGTACAAATATAAATATAAGGCATTTCAATATACAAATATAAAGTATCAATTTTTAGATAGTATTACCTGGATCAATGTTGAAGGCTACTGTTGTGTCAAAACAAATTTCAGCTACTGCTGGGTCAGTGCTCTTAGCAGATAAATGGGGAAGATGTCCACTGCTTTTGCAAGCTGTCTCTGAAATTAATGGTTTGTGATGATATTTATTTATGAGATACAAATCAATATTCAAATAGAAAATCAAGTAAATCAAGCAAATAAATGTAAAAAATAAAGTAAATCAATGTGTTTGGGATGTTTCTTACACAGTATGGGGTTTTACTCCTGCTGATCAAAGAGGGCAAGTTTTCGGCCAATTAGTGGTTGCTGATGGGTATTCCTCCTTTTTCTCATCTTTTATGGATTCTTAATATCAATTTTAGAAAAATCGTCTGAAAACTTAAATTCTTTGGTGAAATCATTTTTACTTGCATTTTTCTGTTATTAGATATGCATCCAATAAGCCAATTTTCGCCAAGGGTGCCTATGTGGGGTTGGCAGCACCAGGGAATTTGGGTTCATGGCAAACACAAACCAAGGCAAGTTCAATTTGTTATGAAAATATTGTATTCTAGAACTGTTATGGGTGTTTAATTAACTGTTAGTAGTTTCGTATAATTCAATAGTTGATTGTTAATTATTGTCATTAATATTTTAAATATTTGTATTCATAAGATAACACAAAACAGCTAACTACTAGTTCAAGCAATTATACGTGGATTTAGCTGTGAATTTTAAGTTTTTCTCTTCCTTTTCTAGGGTTATCAGTTCTGGACACAAGCTGACAGGAAAGGTGGGTTCTTTATTAACAAAGTCCGACCAGGGATTTACAATTTGTATGCATGGGTTCCTGGTGTTGTCGGAGACTATAAATTAGATGTTGTAATAGCAATCAACCCGGGAAGCAACACCAATATGGGTTTACTTACATATAATGATATTTATTTATGATATTTTTTCAGAAACATTCAAGATGGTAAAAAAAAAACTTGATTTCCAAATAAATCAAGCAAAACATAGTCCTAATTGTGCAATTTCAAAAGCTACTAAATTGCCGACACAATCAAAATTGCAATTTCATCATTTTCTTTTCTCTCCCTAAGCACCCAGTTCACTCATGCATTTCATCAAACAATAGGTGTGCATTGGAAAGATTTAGGTGTATAGAATACTGTCATAGAAAACAAAACAAACCTCTAATGGAAGGATCTAAGAGTTAAACAGTGAATATGAAACAAAATAGCATTTTCTAATCAACTGTCATAGAGGAAATTAAAGGGAAACATAATTGAAAACAAGAAACAAAAATGAGATAAATACCTGTGAATCAAATTCTTATAATTCCTTGTTTTCGTTTTCAAAAGAGAGAGCGAGAGCAGCTGGTGAGCTAGAATGCTAGCAATTCCATTTTCTAATTCAACTTCATTTTCAATTACGGATGCTATACTGTAAATTAAAAATGGTCAAAGCCGGTGAGAGAATGGTGAAAGCTCAAAAATAACCAAAATTGACGTTGAGCAGGAATATCCTTACCTTGAATAGTGGCTGCTGATGCTGATAACTAAGGTGGAAGAAGAACCAGAAGGTGTTAAATAATATGGGTAAAGAGGATATTACGGTAATTTTTGTTGATAAAATCTCAACCTTCACCAAATCCGTCCCAAACCCCCCAAATTGGGGGGATTGAAAATCTGCAGTTGCAAGGGGTTGTTAAGGGGATCCAGACCTCCTCCATCTCCTTCCCCTTCCTGCTCTTTAAATACCCAAACATAAGGAAGGAGACAGCCTCCCCTCCCTCTCCCTCAATTACCATCCGTCCCCTTCACTCCCCATCCCTCTCCGTTGGTCTCCCTCAATCCAAACAGGGTGTTAAACTGAAGAATATTACTCTAACCACTCTGAATTTTCAAGTAGAATAATAACCATAACAGCAAATTAAACTGCCTGATTCTTGAACTGAAAAA